TCCTTTGTGCACCGGGGCGGGTGTGCGTGCTCCGTGTCCCCCCCCACCCTCCATAGCCCCCCGGCTCGGTGGCGGCCGGCGGGGAAGCGGGAGAGATGCTGCCCTCGCCGGAGGAGCCCAGCGCGAGAGCTCGGCGGCCAGAAGCAGGTACGGGGGGAAGCGGGATGCTGCGCCGGGAGGCGGTGGCTTGTCCCCGGGCTGCTCCTCACCCACGGCCGTTTTTTTTATATATATACCCAAACCTACGGACGTCCTGCGTTTGTAGTGACCTGGCTGTGATTTCCCTGGTGGGCATGATGCTCCCAACTGGTTATTTACTGGTCAGCACGGTCGGGGGCTGCGGCTGCACCGGGCCTTTCTCCCAAAGGAGAGAGATGCCACCGGGCTCCAGCAACTGGTGCGTAACGGTCCCTTTGGAGAGGTGATGTCATTATTAATTATTATTATTATTATTTTCCTCTTTGTAAAAAGAACACTAGAAAATTGTGTCTATTTTTCTAATTAAAGATTTGAGCTAATCTAAGTCCTTGCTGGGGTTGCTCTCTGCCTTTCACTCCTGGGTAACAGTCCTCGCTGGTGGTATTTCTGCTGCGTTTCTGACCTGTAGCTGCTGCATATGGGTAAAAAGGTGCTTAAATAATTAGTAGGGAGAGAAAAAAATTCAATCAGTGCAGTGGGTGGGTTGGTCACCCTCCTCCCAAGCACCCCCAAATGCCCAGGGTGGGTGCCTAATCCTGGGAGAAGCGTCTTGTACTGGGACAGAGAGGGGAAAGGATCCCCACTCCCCAGTGGTGGGAGGACCTCTGAGAAGGGGGGTGTGCCTCCAGGTTTATTCCGGTGGAGCTGAGCCCTGGAGAGATCTGCCCCACCTGGAACCAGACCCACAGGGTCCACTGCAGGGACCCCAAAGCCCAGCCCAGACCCCCCACCTTGGGTTCCTGGTCCCCCGTGGGGTGTGGAGCCGGCTTCACCCACAAGAAATGGGGTGAAACACAGCCCTGCTCCTCATTTTCAACCTGGCACATTCCCAGGGCTGGAGGAGATCCAGGCACCATCAGGCAGAGGCAGGCAGGCAGGATGTGTCCCCCTGTGAAGCCAGGAGGGAGAGTTTTCTCCCTCCCTTTCGCTATTTTAAATGGCAGAGAGATGCTGTTTCCCTTCTCCTGGGAATGCCCAGGGGCTGGGTGGCACAGGAGAAGATGTTGCACCCTGGGGGGTGCCACCGACAGCAGACCCTCCTTCCTCTGGGGGTTAAAAATCAGTTTAAAATCATGCAAGCTCCAAATCTCGTGCTTCTAACAGGAGATGCTCAGGCAGACGGGGCACACCGGTTGTTGGTTTCAATTAATCAGCAGGAGAAGGTGCCCGTGGGAGCAGGGGGAGCTGGGCAGCGAGGACGGGGCAGCGTGTCCCTGGCTCAGGCTCAGCAGTTATCATGGGTGCTCAGGCATTTGGGGCATGGTCAGCCTTTTCTGACAGAGAGGGAAACTGAGGCAGGGGAGGGTCACAGCTGCCAATCTGCTCTCTCTGACTGATTTTGTCCCCTCCACCATCCCTGGAGAGGGGAGATCTGCTCCCCAACCGTGTTATGGAAGAAAGGGGGTTCTCCCTGCCTCATCCCCTCGTGTCCCCCAGCCCTTTGCTGGCACATGGACTGGAGCATCGCAGGACTAAACCCCAGTTATACCATTATCCCAGCAAAATCCACTGCCCCACACTGGACTTGCCATGACATGGGAGGACCCTGTGGAGTTGGGGTGGGGACATGGGGTTCTGCTAGCAGGGATGGGATAGGGAAGGGTCAGAAGGCAACCTCATTGAGAGGGAAATCCTAAATGTCCCCTTAGACCTGTCCCTAAGAGTTCACATCTCTGATGGCATCCAAGGGTGCTCATGCCTCTCAGGTGAGCACCCACCAGCCCCCAGCACCGCTGGCCCCAGCAGCTGGACCATCCCATGGGCATGGGAGCCTGATCCTGAGCAAGGACCACTCCATGGGATGCAGATGGCCCCAGGCAACAGAAAAAAACCCCTTTTTTTTCTGGGGAGGACACCCCAGGTGTCATTAATAAGGACCTCAGCACCCAGGTGCTTCCACTCATTGGAAGGAGGCCATTGTTTGGGCAGCTCTCCACGGGATGTCAGCTCTTGCTGGGCAGTAAACAGCCCTGCTTTCCCCCGTGCCGCTGGCCATGCATGATGCATGAGCCCTTTATTAATACCCCTCCGAAAGTGCATCTATTATTGATGCTGAGTCTGAAAGCTCTGGGAAGGCACCCAGGCTGGAGCCTTCGCCCTCTGGTCCCCTGGCCGGCGTGCTGAGGGGGGGAAGGCGGGGGGGGCACCCATGACAGCAGCTGTGAGCATCTGCTTCTGGAGTGGGATGGGACTGAGCACACGTGCTTGTGTTTTTAGGAGAGGAGGAGAACTTGCACCCTAAAACCTGGGGCTCCTCAGGGATGGGGATAATCTTCACCCCCAGGCCGGCAGCATCCTGGTCCCAATGCTGCCATCTTCCCCCGTGTCAGCATCAGAGACAAGGAGACACATCAGTGGTGGATGCCTTCGGCGCTGGTGACCAAGCTGAGGTGCTCGGGGACAGGATCAGGACCAAGCCAGGGATTAAGCCAGAGTGATCAGGGACCAGATTAGGACTAAGCCAGCGACCAAGGCAAGGTGCTTGGGGACCAGCTGGGGACCAAGCCAGGGCACCCAGAGACTGGATCAGGAGCAAGCTGGGGACCAAGGCAGGATGCTTGAGGACTCAATGAGGACCAAGCCAACGATTAAGCCAGGGTGATCAGGGACCAGACCAGGACCAAGTCAGAGACCAAACCAGGGTTCTTGGGGACTAGCTGAGGAACAAGCCAGGTGCTCGGGGACCAGAACAGGACCAAGCTGGGGTATTCAGGGATTGTTTCAGGACCAAGCCAGGGTTCTTGCAACCATGGGTCCAACTCAGGATGGGGAAGAACAAATGCAGGTCCCCACACTCAGCCATGCACCCCACCCCAGCTCTACCTTTTGGGAGGATGCTCCAGGGGGGTCCCAACCAGGAGCCTGCCAGGGGCAGACGATTCATGGAGGTGGGGGAGAGGAGGGCAAGGGTGGGACCGGGGGGCAGAGAAGCTGCAGGATGAGGCCGGCGGGCTGCCGCATGGCAGCAAGGCCCGGCGGAGGGCCCGCGGTGTTCGTGGGGAGACAGGCAGAGGGAGCTGTGAAGGAGGAAAGCGGCAGAGAGAAACGGTCCGGGCTCAGGCTGCAAAGGAGGAGGAGGAGGCGGCTGCCAGCGCTCGCCCTCCCTCCTTCCCTCCATCCCTCCCTCCCTCGCCCCTGCTTTTGCCATGCACTGCCCCCCCTGAGCCCCGAAGCCACCCGGGGACCCGCCATCCCCAGGGTGCCCAGCAGCCTTCGCTCTCCCACCACCCCCGCCGGGGCCTTCAGCCTCTTCTCCCTTCCTCCTCCTCCTCCTCTTCCTCCACCTCCTCCTCCCGCAGCCACCACCCTCCCTCCTTCCCCAGGGCCTGGCTGGCATGGAGGTGCCGGCCGCAGGGAGCCGGATGCTTCCCGCTGCTCCTGCCTCCTCCTCCCCGGGTTGCATCCCTCCTGCCGGGCATCCCTCCTCCCCGACAAAGCCCTGAGCGGCTCAGCAGCCTCCTCCTTTGTGCACCGGGGCGGGTGTGCGTGCTCCGTGTCCCCCCCCACCCTCCATAGCCCCCCGGCTCGGTGGCGGCCGGCGGGGAAGCGGGAGAGATGCTGCCCTCGCCGGAGGAGCCCAGCGCGAGAGCTCGGCGGCCAGAAGCAGGTACGGGGGGAAGCGGGATGCTGCGCCGGGAGGCGGTGGCTTGTCCCCGGGCTGCTCCTCACCCACGGCCTCCGGGGAGCAGGGGGACACAGCGGGGACAAAGCCCCGCTGGCGGGAGGTGAGGAGGGACCCGCTGCAGGTGCCGGGGAGGGGGGTGAAGCGTACCCCGCCTTTTCATGCCCACCTCCCACGAACCCCCTGTGCTTCATCCTCAGCAGCCCTCGCCC